AATCTCCAAAGCCACACCTTTCCTTAAGAGTCCATACTCTTATATTTTCTTGTTATCAGAGAGGCAGCCAATAAAGCACTCATCCCTCTCAAGCTCTATTCATCCAAAGAGTAGTTCCACAGCGTGGTTTTGCATCTGACATTAGACAGGCAATTTGTGAGGAAGCATGCGCATTTATACGCGTATGACCAAAGAGATGATGGGAGGTGTGAATGTGTGAGGGTAGTGCAAGCAATGTTGCCAAGGGTTTGGTTGAGTCGTTCAGCCTCACCGTTCTGTTTGGGAGTATATGGAGATGTGAATATGATTTTGCAGCCGATAGAATCCAAGTAGTCGTGCAACAATTTTGAAGTGTATTCTTTGGCGTGGTCACATTGGATGAACTTGGGTGACAATTGGAAGTGAGATGTGATGCGTTTGACAAGGGAAATTAATATTCCAGGAACTTTGGAGCGTGATTTCATTGGGAATACAAAGGAATAAGTGGTTGCATGGTCTCTGGTGGTGAGAAGGAAGCGATTGCCCTTAACGTTGGGGTGTAGTGGGCCAAGAACATCTGTCACTAAGAGGTCGAGGTGGTTGTCTTTTGGAATAACTTCGGGCAGCAAATGGCGTTGGCGCTCACTTTTTGATGTTTTGCAAGATTCACAGATGAAAGGGGTCCAGCGTTTGATGTCAAAATCAGGAACAAATTCTTTAAGGAATTCTTTCACAACAGAATTGGAGACGTGTCCAAGACAACAATGCCAGTCGTAAGAAGGGGAAGATAGCTGAGGTGGGGCAGTGACGGAAGCAGATTTGACTGAGTAGCTTGTGCGTTGCCAAGATGTAGGGAAGATAAGCCATGAGCGATTGACGTATTTAGCAACAATAGAAATGAATGATGAGGTTAAAAGAATGTCGTTGTTTGGGAGGAATGAAGGTTTGAAGCCGGAGTCAATCAGTTGTCCAAGACTAAGGAGCGTTCCTGTCATGTGCGGGCTGTACAGTACCCACGGGATCATTAGGAAACCATCCCCACTGATTATCCTCAGGTGACCACTGTTTGTCGCCATCATGGAACCATCAGAGGAAGCTAGATTCAGTTTAATTGGCGGACCGTGTGGTATGTCCATACCTTTCCATGTATCGTCATCTTTCACATCATTTTAAATATATTCTTCCCAGTATTATGTCATATTCAGATTCTACACATCATTTCACCCCTAGTCACCTCTTAAATTTTTTCAGTATCTCTTATAGTTCTTTAGTTATCACCTCTTCAGTATATTCATAGTTACAGAACAGTACATTACTTCATACATACAGTACATATACATTACACATTATCTAGTTACAGTATCTATGTAGCATCACTCCTTCATCATAGTACATCATCTTAACTACACTACATCATATACATATTTCTCTTCACACAGATTTGACTTTCCATATCTGATTAGCAATTGTATACACAGAAAATCTATCTCTAGGTTACTTTATTTCCCATCACTCATTACTGTTTAAGATTTAAATTACCCAAAGCCAGGATTTCTCCAGCCATGGTGCTTTGCTGTTGTATGTACAGTCTCCTCCCAGATGTTTATAGCCATCTGTTTTGAGCTCCACACTGGGAACCCAAACATTTCAAGTCACAAGAATTTGTGGAATGGTGGAAAATGGGTCTCAAAGAATGAATATGAAAAAATAATAACAAAAAATAAGATTTTAAAATTTGTAAAAAGTAAAAAGGAGAAAATCACAAAAACTGACAGCCTCAATTTTTCTTTCAGGAAAAGATGAAATGTCCAAAGTGATAGTATGAGATCTGGAATGAATGATAAAAAGTGAAAATTTGGAAAAAAATGACTACTTGGTGGTTTAAAAAGGGTGCCTAGGGGGTCATTCATCAAGAAATGTGGCATTCTGGTACTGCAATCTACTGATTTTGACTGCAGGGTGTCCACCCACCATGCTGAAACTTTTTTTGGATCAATATTTTTCATTTATAATCATTCTTTTCATGTTCCAAACTTGCCCTCTGTGTGTTCACTTTTCACTCAAACAAAAAATTAAAGTTTTCAAAAAAAAAGTTGATTTTCTTTTATCTTTTTCACAAATTTTAAAATCTTATTTTTTATTATTATTTTTTCATATTCATTCTTTGAAACCCATTTTCCACCATTCCACAAAATTTTGTGACTTGAAGTTTTTGGGTTCCCTCTGTGGAGCTCAAAACAGATGGCTATAAACATCTGGGAGGAGACTGTACAGTGCCTAGACAGTGAAAAGTGGCTGCTTACTTTGGATTCCAGAGCTCCAAAACACAAATTTGAAATCATGAGACTTGGTCACGTGGTGCATAATAGGTCCCAAAAAATGAATATGAAATAATAAAAGCAAAAAATAAAGTTTCAAAATTTGTGAAAAATAAAAAATAAAGTTGAATTTTTTCAAAAGCTTTGATATTCATTTTGGGGGAGTGGCAGTGCTGAGAGAAAGAAAGATTGGGAAATGAGAAGAATGATTATAAATGAAAATTTTGGAAAAACTGGTTTTCAGATGGCTTCAAACAGCTGTTGAGTGGGGCACTCACCAGACCACATTGCAGCAAAGCACTAGAATTTACTGTTTTGGCTCCAATCTGGACCACCAACCTGGCTAAACCTTTTTTGGTTCCAATTTTTTCATTTATAATCATTCTTCCCATGTTCCATTCTTTCTTTCTCTCAGCACTCCACTCCCCAAAATGGACTTCAAAGCTTTTGGAAAAAATCACTTTATTTTTA